CAGTACCAAGATGAGTTAGCTTTCTGTGCGTCGAAGGTGGAAGAAATGCTTCTTCATGGGATGGACTTACAGGGAGATGCCAACAAGAAGCTTCACGAAATCAACCAAGAACGTATTCGCACTGGCTATCCTGTCCTTCGCGAGTTTGTCTTCGAGTACGATATGACTGGAGTCTGGTGGATTCGCTATCTTGTGCAGGAAGGCAAGGGACGCAGCATGCTGCCCTACCAGAACCACAACATCGACATCTGCATTTATGATCGTCTTTTCAAGTTGAAGTTGATCCTTCCTGACCCCTTCTCGGAAGCACACAAAGCAACCAGGTTCTGTGACATCTGGGGATTCGACGAGGATGCATACATTCAACGTTACCATCGTTGGTTGAGTGATATTGACTTGCTCACGGAAGGTGTCGAAGAGGCCAATGATGTCGAAGAGCCAACCACGGAAGTCGCCGAAACTGCCACTGATGATTCCAGCCATGACAGCGACGAGGTGAATATGGGTGGCATCAACCTCAGGATGATGGAGCGCTACATCGACAATTTGGAAGTCGCAGAAGAAGAGGGTCCCGTGGACAATGACTCTGGTGACTCCCAAGAAGATACCGGTGAAGAAACCAGTGGAGATGCAAGTGAAGAAACCAGTGGCATTGACAGTGGATTGGACACTGGTGTTCGCTCTCCCTCCAGTCTGGGATCCCCAGTTCTTGACAATGAGCAAGTTGACGCCGAGATTGACACCATCTTGAAGCGTCGTGCAATACACGGCTCTTAGCCTTATTCGCGACTCGATCCTAGATAGGGTCTGAGTTCGACTCATGACTGAGTCTCTCGTGAATAGTCATATATAAAAAGTACTAGTTTTAGGCAGACTACCTATCTGGTCCGGAGGACCTTTGTCAACGCTGGTACGAATCGAGCCCGAGGGCCCAAGCAACTGAGTCGTTTATGTGGGTGTTCCCACGACACGAGGGGGATAGCATTCAGTTTCATTGGAACAAGAGGATGTACCTCATAGAAGCACGATGGTAACTAGCTAACTAGTCTACGCTCGTCTTTCACCTCCGTCCCCAACGAGAGGGGACAGGTCCTTGTTTCTCCGCTACCACAGTGAATGCCTCCTCGTGGAGTGACCGGGGGCGCAGTGGCCTAATCCGGATTAAGACAAAAATGTGTGATCATCAGTTGCTGTTGCCGTTGGAGCTGTCGATTCGCTGGAGCAAGTTGCTTCTGGAACTCTGTTCGGGCCAGGGAGGTAGATTCAAGCCATCGCTTTGTCTTGTCGATAGTGAATGTAAGGGTGTGGGTTTTGGTGTCCGGGTGGACTCTCCAGTGGTCGACGGGGAGTAGGCCTATGGTGCCTTGGGTGTACTGTTGTCGAACCCGTTCGCGTAGAGTGTCCAGTTGGGATAGTTGGGTGGGAGTGAGGGTAGTGCCATGGACGGCTTCATTTCGGTTGGTCCAAAGGTTGAAGTGTAGGCTCCAGATCTGTTTGATGAAGGCGCTGGTCCAGGCCAGGCCATCTCCGTTCTTCTTGAGTCGTTGCAGGTGGTGTGTTTGGATGTGTTGGAAGGATTGGGAGACCCTGCCAAGTAACAAGTTCCACCAGCCAAGGTTGGTTTGGTCGGCGATGGCTTGGCGGATGGAGGTTGGCAATCTGGCGGTGTTGGGATGGAGTGGTGTACGCCATTGGTGCACCGTTTGAGAGTGGAGGTAGTAATCGTTGTGGAGTCCTGGGGTGGGTGTGCCTCTTTTTCATCCACTTGTTCAGCCCCGTCATTTGTTTCTTCCATTCCGCTGTAGCAGGGGTGGAGTCACAGAGTAGAACGTGGAGGGTGTCTTCATCCTCGAGGCCGCATCGCGGACGGTTGCTGTGGTCTTGCCAATTTCTTCGAAGTTGCATCCGTCCGACCCCGCAGTGTCCTGAGGTGTGTTTGGTTACCCAACGGTGTGTGCCAAGGGGGCTGCTTCTGAATGCCAGGCCGTGGGCAGTCCAGTGGGTGCGTTGCCACTTGTCGTTCCATGCTTCGTTGGAGTAGTGCACATCGCGAACTCGTTCTTCACGTTGTTTCAAGTGGGCTTTGATGGAAGCTTCTCCCAGGAGTGTGTGAACTTCTCTCAGGTGGAATCGCGCGAGTTTCGCGCCCTTGAACTTGATTGTCACCCGTTCATGGGTGAATGGGATGTTGGGGGAAGGGGTGAACTGGTGCAGGTCCCAGTGTGCTTTTGTCCTGGTGTCCATCTCTATTTTCAGAATAGCCCATCGGTCCAGACAGCCATGGTGGAGGTCGTTTCACGCAGCAGCTCCGGTCGGAGTCCCCGCCGGTGGTTCTTGTCGTCATCCTGGTGCACTTTCACCCAACGGTACAGAACTTCCACTTTGCGCTTCCGTAGTTGCTTCAGGAGATTGCTCTGGCTTCCACGCGCAGGTCATAGTCCCTTTTGTTGCTGGTTGGCTCAAAGATGAATTCCAGTGCTTTCAGTGCAGCTTGGCCGTCACAGCCTATGATGAACTTTCCACTGGAGATGTCGAAGCGATGCACAAGAGTGAGGACCATCAGCATCACAGCCACCAATCCCCAGTTCACTTCGAAGGGATGAGTGTTCTTTTGGGGAGCCTGGGCCACACAGTTCGCCGTTGATTCTTCCTTCTGAATCGTTGCCTTCGAGCACGAATGCGGCTGTACCGGAGTCGTTCTTGTATGATCCGTCGCTGAATGCCACTGCCTTGCCGGTAAGGATTG